TCCTTCCTTCCTTCCTTCCTTCCTTCCTTCCTTCCTTCCTTCCTTCCAAACTTTTATATGCCATCCCCTATGCATGGCATCCCAGGATGGCTTACAATCATTAATTAGCACTCTTCATCTTTCAACCAGGCCTGGAGCGCTCAGCCTTCAAAGTGAGGATCCCTTTTAACAAAGGACTGTCCCTGTTAAGTTAGGACATACGGAGTAGTTTGGCAAAGATAGCTTGGGAACTCCCAGCATCTGGAGGTTCGTACACTGCGAAGGAGGCAACATGGCAAAGAGAACGCTGCCGAGAAGGTCAGCTAGTCCACGTGGCTGTATGGAAAGAGAGTGATGATGGGCTGCGATGACTGATTTCATGCCCCATTGAATTTGAGATAAATCAGGCCGAGTTGCCCTCCCCCTGCCACATGCATGCACACCAAGTAAATTAATAACTCTGAGCTCATGCAGAAAGATGTCAATGTACCACCTGGCGCAGACGTGCCAAGCGCCAAAGGCCTGGGGGTTCCATGTTACGGTGCCACGGAACCATTGCGAACATCACCAGCAGCTCCTGTTTATTCTTTGAAAACGTCACCAGAGAGCCAGCCAGCTGAAAAGACGCCACGCTGTCTGGCAAAAGCAGTGCCTGACATTTCAGAATATGCAGATCGGGTCTGGGGGGTGTGGGAAGGGCTCCCCACACTTCACTCCCAACCGGCGGTGTTCTTACCAACCATCGCAATGGCGCCAGCCCAAGTTCTGTGCGCGTCAAAGGTTGGCTGCTTTAATCTGCGCCTTTCAGGAAGAGCAGAAACATCCATATGTCCTTCCTGACATTCAAAGGGTTCCCTCCCGCTCCTGAGCTATTCCTGCTGCCTCCCCCGTGTGCCCTGAAATACCTCCCCTTTGCAAGAACTGTACAAGCAGATGAAGCAAGCACCCCCTCCCCCCACTCCATGCGTCGGGGTGGCTGGCGAGCACATTTCCGCTGCAGCCCAACCTGAGCTCAGAAGGAGCCGGGCGCTTTGACATGTGTGGGATCCACTGCCATTCATCCATGAGGCTTTTAATATCCCTCTCCTGGCAGATGACCTCTCGCAAGATCAGCAGCAGAAACTTCCCATGCGTAAAAGTGCCGTGGCAGATCGGACACTTGCTTCACTAGTTGGGCAAGTGAAAAATGAGCCCTGGCATTCGTACAGAACCTGACTGCTGGGTACTTCCTTCTTTGCCTAGACCACCAACCGTTTGGTGGTTCCCCAGCTTTTCTGCGGTATCTGCCCCAGTGTTTTCTGAAGGGCTGACACACTTTCTTCTATGGCTTGCTTTTGATCAGCAGGAGTTTTCATTTGCTGGCATTTCTGTCCCTCTCCATTTGCCATTGCCCTCATCTGCTTCTCAGACGGAGCCTCAAAGAGCTTTCCTGAAAGCGAATTCACCCCTGAATTTGGTTCAACGCTCTGTGGCTGTGATTCACGCCCCCAACCGTAGTTCCAAGAGCACTTGCAAAAAGTTTTAGAAAGATAATCAGGCAGAATTCATGCACCGATACTGAAACAAAACAATATAGCACTCTATGAAACAGGAAAATTTTGCTTTGCTTTGCTAACAAATATTACAAAGCCTGAGAAATATGTTCTTTGCCTTAAGGTAGGCAGAGGAGAGCTTCCCTGGGGAGAGCATTCCACAAGCTTTGTGCCAACACCAAGTAGGCCCTTCCCAGCACTCCACATGGCAGAAAAACCTGCTGAAGGCTCTACTGATGATCTTTGAGCATAGGGAGGCCCAAGGGGAGACAAATGGTCCTTTGGGTTTTAGGCTAGACTAGAATGGACGCCTGCTTTAAAAGGCAAATATTTCCACCTGCTACCTAACATTCCTAGGACTGGATGCCAAGAAGGGTGTTCCAGTCCTGGATGAGAAACCCAGTCTTTATTAACCCCATGGCTCTCACCCCATGGAGACCACCAAAAGAAGTTCCCCCTGAAATTCAGGTACTCCAGATTCCATGGAAGCAACAAGCTTCTGATGCAGCTGTTGGAGGCACAGAAACTCTTCTAGGAAGCAAAGCCAAGCAGAAATATAGAGCTAATGCCAGGAGATCCAAAGGGATGAGTGGGGACAACATTTGTGCGTGTGGTGACAACAAGAGAGAATCTTGATGGCCTCTTATGACATCCAGTGCATTTCAGAAAAACACCGTTCCTTTATCAGGGGCTGCTATTGAAATTAAAATCCTAAAACTTTGATCAAGTCACTTATGTTCCCCCAAATTTTCTCACACAGCTTCTTTGTACAATGCACTTCCCTGGTTTTGCAGCTTGTAGCATCCATCGGAAATCCATTGACAGGTTCACGGTGTTAAAATGAATGTAAGAGCAGTTAAAAATTAAGTTTTGCATCCTAAGAAAAACTTCCCATAAAAGTAATGACCTGGTTGCATCAGCAGCAGTTCAAGACTGTGCAAACCCAAGACTGATTTTAGGGACTGCCAGTTGTCATAATTGTTTTTTGTTGTTGTAGTAGCAAGAATAAAACCTTCTTAAAATTCAGTCTTTTTGCCCTGTTCAGCTTTAATTAGCAAAAGGCGCTGACAGCTGAGACCCAAAATGCTAGCAGGGGAGTGGAAAGCAATCACACCACTCATTAGAAACCAAGATCAGTCATTAGGAGTGTCTCATCAGGTGGAACCCAAGTGCTGAGCATGGAAAGGCAGATGGGATTAGCTTCCTGCCAAGTAACATGTTGGGACCTGCCAGTGAATTTTACTCACTGGAGACAAAATAGGGTTTCTGTTGATTCCTTTCGTTTTCGCTTTCCCCCAAAATCAACTTGAAGGTTGTTTCAAGGAACAGTCATTCTTCTTTCAATGTGTTCAGTCTTCCCATATCTGTCTTAGTGAACAGATTATGCAGGTTTTCTCTTTAAATTGGAAAACCTGACAACCTGTTTAATCAGAGGCAACAATGGGAAAAAAGAAACATGTTTGTAACAGGTTATGGAATGTGATAATTGGGTATCTTTTCCATTATTGTTTTACGGTGGTGATAATTTAGATAGCAACTGCATGGTCTATTTATGACAAACAAAATAATCCAATCCCCAAACAAAGAAAACAAGTCTCTATTCTCTGCATGAAAGCTTTGGTACATTTATTATTTTGGAAAAGCAATTTCATTTAATGTACAATGTTGTCTGAATTGTTTGTTTTGATGCATTTCTGACAGCTTTTGTTTCTTAATTCTCACCCAGCGTTGGAACTCTTCTCCTAATTTGTTATTTTATGTATTAATTGTAAAAAATGCTCAGTTGAAACAAGATGAAGTTAAGTGCTAGGAGTCCTCTCTCTTGTCTTTCAGCTGAGAAAATCTGCCAAAAATCTTACGCTAATATCAAAGCTCCTCAGAATCCCACCCCATTGTTATTAACAAATCCATTTCTTGCTTCCTTGATGATACTGAAGACTTTGTGCTTTGCTCAAAGACCCATTGAATATAGTCTTAACACAACTAATGTACTACTCACAGGGCTGTTCACAAATCAGAATTTATCCTACAAGGTTATGGATGCGGGGGCACCCTTATGTTGTCAGTGATCCCCATTCCTGCTGCTTATCCCCTGACATCTCTTTCTCCAAGCTAATTGGCTTATCTCAGGGATGCAGGGGAGAGGGGAGGCGAATTGGCCAGCCAGGCTGATCCAATATTCTGTCCTCTCCACTCCAACATCTCTCCGGAGCTAGGAATGCAGGGTTCACTCAAGAAGAAATTCAGGACATGCTTTGCTTTTGGGTGTTTCTATTGAAAAATGGTTAGTATATGGGAAATGTGGGGGGATGCCACAGATGCATCTTCAGGGACCAGATCACTTCTTGCCATTTGAGTTCTTGTTCTCACTGCCTATGCCGTTGCATGAGACCCACAAGAGTGGTGATGAAGGAGGAGGAGATGGTCTCGGGAAGCTCCATTTTGCTCTGCTTTCTATTCAGATCAGTCTTTACGGGGAAACGGCTATGCAGAATATGTGCCGGGTTTATTCACTCTGGACCTTCCCCACCCTCCCACCCCTGTTTCAGCCAATGGACACTACAATTCCCGGAGCCAGTCGCTGAGATCTACTGATAACAGGAAACGGGATGATATGGATGAGCTTCAACAGTACGGATACCCCGCTCCTCAAATAGGTATGCCACCTTGAAGCATCTAGAGACCCTCTGCTGTTTCTTGCTGTGGGGCTGGAGAGAGGGAGAGGAAAAAGCAGAACCACATCAACTCCATTATCTGTCTGTCTATGCTCAGATTAAATTCTTCACTTACAGGGTTAGCAGAATTGCAAGGTACTTCTCAGTAAAATACAGACTCAGTGAAACAGGGTACTCAGAGACTGCCTCAACAGAATTAACTATTCCCATGCAAGCTGGGAAGCTGGTGTTTGGCACAAGCATAGCCCAAGATACCTGGATCACGAAAACAATCCGAGAAAGGGCTCCTCAGATATTTAATCGACAGAAAATGCAGCATGTGAACTTTAACCCACGGGAAACAGGCAGTCCGGGTGGTGATAGAAGGCTGTGAAAACTCCATGCTTCTTTTGCACGGTTAAATTGGCCCTTAGGAGAGTTCCAGAAGCAGCCCAGAACATGTATGTGGTCTTTCCATGAGGCCACTCAATTTAAGAATTGCATTATTTATCATGCTAGTAAACCTGCCTTGATCTTGGATGTCTATATGAAGGAAATGCTGAGTCCAAATGAGGCTCAGAGGAAATCCCTTATTCTGCAGATGGTTCGGGTAGCATAGTAGGTTCATGACCATCTCATCCATGTATGCCTGGCAGGAAAACCTGGTTACGACAGAATCCCCCAGGGATACTGGAGCCAATCCTAGCTCAATGGTGAGGATGTTTGTGCCTCACAGGGAGTTCCCAGCACATAGAACTCACCCCCACCTTATAGGACTATCGCTTTACCTTCTGAGGATGCACCTGGGTCAAGAATAGGACGTGTGGATTGTCCCCAGGGGTGTGGCAGCAGAAGGATGGGGGTTTGCAGTAGGGATGGATTGAATGCTTGGTCCAAGAAAAGTACCGGCCTCCTCAAACAGCCCCCCTAAAACCCTTGGTGGTGGCAGGTGCTGTTGCTTGGTCTGCCTCTAAAAAGATCTGATGCTATTTATTCTGGCTGGCTAGAAGGGCCTTTTGTCCACTGGCTCATCAGAATACACAAAGCACCCGGTGTCACATTCGACACACTCAAGATTTTATGGGGGTGAACTCAGAAGATGGCCGTCCAGAGACCACTGTCCATCTCCCCCACCCTGGCCCTGGTTCCATTAGTCCCTAAGCTCTTGGTTGTCTTCTTTACTGAACATGGTGGAACTCCCCTGCCGTACCAAGCAGGAGAGAGCTCTCCAAGGAGGGCATGCCTGGTGAAAGCCCATCTAAGGAAGACCTGCCATTGAAACCCATCCAATGTGTGCTTAGACAAGAAACCCACCCACCCACCACCCACCCACCAACAATAACCCTAAGACCTACAGTTCCTAGCATTCCCCACCTGCCTGAAGAATCCTATAAGTTTTCTCCTCCTCCATCACCATCTCCACCATGTTCTCCTCCTCCTCTCTCCACCATGTTCTCCTCCTCCTCCTCTCTCCACCATGTTCTCCTTCTCCTTCTCTCTCCACCATGTTCCCCTTCTCCTCTCTCTCCACCATGTTCCCCTTCTCCTTCTGGTCTAACAATGCCCTGGATTGTGCCCTAAAATGTAAGTGCTGAGTTGTGATGGGAACACAGGCAACACTTGCAGATTTCCTATAGCGATGGCGCCTGGGGAAAGGGGACCCCTGTGACACACATGGTCTGCAGCCACTGCCAGTCCAAGTAGGCACGGGCTCGGCCTGAAGCAGCTTCCTGTGCTCTGCACTCCAACAGGTGATCCAGCGGCCGAGGAGTGGTCCCCCTGGAGCGTGTGCTCGACCACCTGTGGGGAGGGCTGGCAGACTCGGACGAGGTTCTGCGTGTCGTATTCCTACAGCACCCAGTGCAGCGGCCCCCTCCGGGAGCAACGGCAATGCAACAATTCCGCTGTCTGCCCAGGTGATGACCGTCCCCTCTTCCCCCAGCAACAGGGCAGGGTGTTCTCTCACACACGGATAGATACAAGCACACCCAGTTCTGCAACAAGGGATTCTGCAACCTGCATATCAAGGGTGGGAAATGCTGGGAGGTCCAACACCAGGGCGAAAAGCCGACTGGAGAACCAGAAGGAAAAGAAGCACTGACTTAATTTCAAGCAAATAGTGACTCTCCTTGCATCCTGTAGGAGCTGCAGAGGACTAAAAGCAGGGAAAAGCTTCAGAGCAGCTGCTCCAGACACTGTTTTTAATTGTATTTTATTTAACAATTTTGGAGGCAGCAGAGACTACACCAGCACTTCCTGACAGTCAGGACCCCGAGGGTGTGGAGTGGGCTTGCCTGGGATGTGGTTGAGCCCCCATCGGTGCGGGTGTTCAAGGATAGGCTAGACATGCACATGGTGGGCACGCCATGAGCGGAGCCGGCTGGAGCCGGGGGTCAGACTAGATGGCCTGGGAAGCCCCTTCTGACTCGCTCAGTTTTTATGTTTCTGTGTTAGTCACCAGATCTGTAGACCTGTTCCCTGGTACTATCAGGGCTTTAAAAATGCAATCCTATACAAGGAAAAATGTGCATTTCAAAAGAACATGCTGTTGTTCAGAATTCAGGTCATGAAGAAGTGGCATGAACATGATGTGCAAAGGAGAGTGAATAGTCCAGGCTCACCCTAGAACCTGGAAAAACCTGGAGTCATGTCTCTTTCTGCCGCTAAAGACCTTCCCCACGGGCTCCACTTCACTCTTCCCTAGAGTGCCTGTCGTCCACCTGGTACCCTTTAGCTCTTTTGGACTTCTATTCCCGTAAAGTCCAGCCCACATGCCCAGTGCTCTGGAGTGCTGCTGGGACTTGATGCAGTCCAACGTATCTGAAAGGCACCAGGATGGGAAAGACTCTTCCAGAAGGCGCTCCCCATGCTTCCAAGATGAAAGGAATCATTCCAGCAGGAGCCATGTGGGTCCTTGATATAATGACAAGGGCAGTGATGCCTTCTCTGATACCCTCGCAACAGCTGCACTGTGTTTGTGCATTTGTGGCTTTTTTGTTGCTCCTGTGTTTGTGTTGTATGGATGGACCCCAACCAGGAAGCCACAGTCCTTACCTTAGAAGAGCTAAGCACAGCTGCCAAAGTCAGGGCATTTTGGAGAGCTTTCAATCATACGGTGGCTGTATATTGGCTATGACTTGATGGCACATCACAACAGCAACAACATGATTGTGTATTCATCCCCATTTCTAAGTAAAGTTCTTTTAAAGTCTGTGAGTCTTCTCGAACTGAACTCCCGTCTGCATTCCTAGGAACCACAGTGGTGCTAAGCCTCTAAGGACACTCACAAGGAAAGCTCACAAGTGTCTTCCAGTGGTGTGCACTGTGTGCATGAATTAGTCACAAACCACTGTGCAGCTTCATCCCCACCCCCAGAAAACTTCTTGCAGTCATCCCTGGAAAGACACTGGTTTGCCTCTTGCAAAACTTCCCAAACCCCTTCACATACCTAAGAAGAAAAAGATATTGTTCTCCGGGTGTGCTGTTACAAAATACATCAAAATATTATGTAGGAAGGCAGGATGCGTTCCAACAGAGCAAAGCTCAGGGAACCAAGGTTCCATTTGGATGTCAGGAAGCACTTCCTGACAGTCAGGACCCCAAGGGTGTGGAATGGACTTCCCCGGGAGGTGGTTGAGGCCCCATCGGTGAGGGTGTTCAAAGATAGGCTGGATGTCCACATGGTGGGCATGTTGTGAGTAGAACCGGCTGGAGCTGGGAGTCAGACTAGATGACCTGGGAGACCCCTTCTGACTTGCTCTGTTTCTCTGTTTCTATTATTTTAAACATGCGAGAAAACAAGGGTTTGGAGGTAAGGGTGCTTGAGAGGTTCCATCTTTGTGAATTTCCATGACCTCTTTCTAAAAGTAACCCTTACTGATCTCAGCAGCTCTTGCTGCTGTTGTGCTGTTAGCTAAGCCCCAGGTTTTGGATGTCTCCAGAGGTTCTCAGTTGGAGTTGCTTGCCCTGATGGATGGTTTAGACCAGAGAGCAGAGACTGCAGTGACTGGACCTACCAGTAGATGGGATTTTATACAAACACCCTATTTTATATTGCTATATGGTGGTACAGATCTTGCCTTAGCTCTTCACATCATGCTTTGTCAAGGCCTGGAAGTTTGGAGAGAAAATTTATTTCCTTCTTGCACAGAGGGAGAATTTCAAAAGATCCATGCATGCAAAGGGTCTAAATGCTGCTTTCTGTGGGTGTCCTTGTGTGGTGCTCTTGGTCACTGTTCCACAGCGGTAATCGGTGTGCTACTCTAGGAAAGGGCTAAAGCAGCTAATTTTATTATGCAACAGCAACTACTGCTACTGACGAGGGGCTGCTAGGCTGGGGAATCCTCCGGGGCAAGCTGTATTTGTTGGATGGCTCGACCTGAGACGGTCCCTGTACAATTTCATGAAGCGAAACCTGAAACTTAAACTGGAGCAAAGAAATGGTGTGGGGGGGGGGGGGAGTGAGAAAGCGGCCACGGTTAGTTACGATTCCCTGCTTTCATTCCAGTTCACGGGACGTGGGACGAGTGGTCCCCTTGGAGTCTGTGCTCATCCACCTGTGGGAGAGGCTACAGGGATCGCACCCGGACTTGCAAACCCCCTCAGTTTGGGGGCAACCCTTGTGAGGGGCCTGAGAAACAAACCAAGTTCTGCAATATTGCACTCTGCCCAGGTAAGTTGGCAAAGAAACTTTCCCCACCAGTTCCTTGAGGAGAAATACTTTCATTGGACAAGGATGCTAACAGAATTTGCCATTTGCAATGAACTAGCAGGGTGGTGAGTTGGTTTGAGTCTAAACAGCTCCTCAGATGAATTCCTCCCTGGACTCCAAGTAAAACCCCTCAGATGACTGTAAAATCCCTCCCAGATGACTCTCCTCTAGTGTAGGAAAGCCCACAACCTCCCTAGAGAATTGTTTCCATTGTCCAAGTCTGAATTTGCTCTCCTAGTTTCGTTTTAATTTCTGGCTTTTGTACAAAGAAATGTGCATGCACTGCTTGCCACAGTGTTCATTGTTTATTCCCTCAACATAGCCAAATACGTATATGCCTGGGGATAGCATCACATATGCCGTAGTCTTGACGTGATAATGCATCTGGTTGCATCAAGCAGTGTTTTTCTGATGTGCAGGAATACAAGCAAACGATGCAAAAAAAGGATCTCACTGCAATCGCATGTACGGTTGTATCCAGCTTGCTTTTTTGTTGCGTATTATCAATGCATAAGTGCTGGGTAGTGACAAAGAGGATAGAGAGGTCCACGTGAATGTGGGGTCTGAAATGTGTGGCGAATTACATCTTTTGGTTCAGGAATTAATTCCTGCTAAACCTGGAATTGAAGAGGAGGAGGGGAAAAGAAGGTGGAAAGGGTAAAGGAGCGTGGCATTGCTTCTGAGCCTGACTCTTGCAATGCCCTGAGAAAACATGGTTTAGGAGGACAAAAAGACTTCCCCTCTCAGGGAGGAGAAATCAGCACTGGCTCTTGTGTCCTCCCCATATGAAGATGTGGCCCTCCTCCTTCCAAAGACACAGAACATGGAGCCACAGAAACAACTTCATCCTCTCTCCCTCATGGAAGTCAGCAATTGCAAAGCCTGAAAGGGACCTTCTATAGAAGCTCTTGCAAGTGCGGGGAGTAACTGTGGCACAGGCCTACATAAGGCCTCAGGTGGCCTCAGCTCTCTGCTGAGGCAACATCTCTGCAGTTCAAGAAGCAAAGCTCCCTGGGAGCTGTTCATCCAGCTTAAAGAGAACTGACTAACCTGACTGAGCTGGAAGTGGCTCTGCTAGACTGCTTCCACTTTCCCCTCATGAGCCCCAAGCCCCAACAGAACAGTATAGGGTAGAAAAGAATCAGGCACACCCTATTTGCCCTAACAGTGAAGACTCACGTTTCATTGCAATTAGGGTGATAATGAACTTGGCCAAAGCAAGGAAAGTTCAGCTGAATTTGGGAGCCACATTTCAACTGACTTTGGGAATGGGGGGCTTGGGTACCCTCTAGCCAACAGGGGTGATTAGGCTGGGATGATGTTCCCAAATGCTTTCATGACAGCTTGGGGATAGGGGTGCTTAGTGGCACTGGCAAAGACAGCTCAACTACACAAAAGCAAAGCCAATTTGGAAAGCCGCAGAATCTCAAACACTGTTCCAGCAGTTTCGTTTCTCCTTCTTCATGTTCCACTGTCTCTCCCACTATAAACACCCCCTTTCCACAAAACATATGGAAACAATCCAGGACAATAGAGCAAGCAACATAAAATTCTCGCCCATTCTGCACCCAAGAATCAGATGGAGATGATGGACATTACAGGTCAGCCCTAACATCAGTCTCTAAAATTAACAGCAACTGCTCTTTCGACATCTCCTGTTGGGCTGTAAAGGGAATAGCTGGGAAGGAATTCTCAGCTGCCATGCTATTACTGTAGGATTTCAGAGTTCCGAGGGCAGTCCTGAATGCTGCAGGGAAGCATTGTGGCTTCCCTGGACAACCGATTTCTCACCGAACAAGCTATGCTATCAAATCATGGGCAAACAGAGAGCAAGGGAACCCTTCCCAGAACCCTCAAGGAGCAATGCTACCAGATTAGAAGTGGCTAGAGGAGAAAGAGCTATAGATGTCTCAAAAAATTAGCCAAGCTTCATCAAGCTGGAGAAGACAAACAACCTAGGATTGGGAGCCAGTCTCTGAGTTGAAAGAGCCATTAAGACTGTGGGTGAAACAGCTCAGACAAAGAAGGAAAACATGGCTGAGCTGCATTTTCTCTTTTTCCACCTTTCTCCATATTTTAAGGTATATCCCCCCCAAGATTGTCACTTGGAGATGGCTGCAGCTGGTTTGGAAACTTTTTGGACAGAACTCAGTCTCTCAAAAACCAACAGAGGCAGCCATGGGTTGAACACCAACACAAATTCACTGTACTTGGGGGAGGGGGATTATAATAACCCACTGCACCAGTTAAAAGAGCAATCCAAGGGGAAGCAGTCCATCGCAAGCTCCATCTGGTCTAATTAACATCCGCTGGTGAATGCAAAGGTATCAGCTGCCAAATGAGCACCAAACTGTGGAGGGGGAGGGGGATGTGGCGCTGAGAGCAACTCAGCGCTTCAGCATCATGCCGGCCTCGTTTATTGCCTCCGGGATTTATAACTGCAAACAATGACAACTCACCATTGCAGGGGCAATGCAGAACTCTGTGTACAGCAGAATTAGATCTAGATATATAATATAAAGAGTTGCTCTTTGGAAAAAGAGCAGGGAGGGAGGGAGAAGTTGGGTAGCGCTTGTCTAATTGCAGCAAAAGCTCTGCTGAGGTTGTGAGTGGCCGGCAGTTGTTTGATTTGGTGCAGTGAGGCTGATGGTGCCTTTCGGGGGTCAAGACTGGCAACCAGCAGCGGTGCTGATTTCTCTGTTTTGTCACCATCACCCTGGATTTTAATTAAATTGATGAACGCTGGCCTTTTAAGATGGACAGGACAAGGGAGCACTGCAGAGGTCTGTAGAACAAAACAGTTGTGCATCCTGTCCTTCTTCTTAGGTTCTCTGCAGCCGCAGGCTAGCTGTGGATGGGAAGCGTCTGCGGTGGCCCTCAAGTGCAGTGCTTTCATTACTCCCAGAGAAGGGATGCATCGTTCATGGAATCATAGAAGAGCAGAGTTGGAAAGGGCCAGAAGGCCAGTGTGTCCAACCCCCTGCTGGGTGCAGGACTCCTGGTTAAACCATCCCTCCCAGATGGCTGCGTCTTGAATGTGTGGGAGAGCCCACCACCTCCCTAGGTCATGCGTTTCCTTGCTGTACTGCTCAACCAGTCAGGGGATTTTTCCTGGTCTCTAGCTGGAATCTGGTCGGTCCTTTATTTGGCAACAGGAAGGGGTGCTCTTCAAGACATCTGGGGGTGGTAGAGTTTCAACCTTTCCCCTGTGCCTGATGACCCCCATGTTTGGGGCAAGATGCTTAACTTAGAGAGATCTTCGTTTCCATGGGAGCTGTTGGAAACTGAGCTGGGCTTGTCTTCCATTCAGTCCTGCCCTGCCCCGGATCTGTTTCTGTTTCCTGCCGATGCCAGATCGTGGTGGACCTGTGACAAGAAGAGGCAATACTGGCAACGAGCATCCATGTCATGGAAAGAGGAAGCTGTGCTACCACTTTGGCTTGTTCTTAGTTATTTATTTTCTTTACTGACCAATAAGCAAGGCTCTCCGGAAGTTTGCAACAGCATGTTAAAATGCAGTATGAGATGCACCTTAAGAACACATCATTAGAAAGCTTACCATATGAAATTTACAACCATATTTAAAACAGATGCCAAACTTGCGATAACTTAAAGAAAATCTTAGGATCTGTTTAGCAATTCACAAGCCCCAGTAAGCGAACTGAATGCCCTGCAGTAGAGGGCAGTCTTTACCTGGCACCAAAAAGATAGTGCAATTGGCACCAGGTGGGCTTCAGTGGGGAGTTCATTCCATAAATGTGGGGCCACTACTGAAGAGGCCCTTTTCCTTGAGGTCAGCAACTCGGCCTTGCTTGGAGGTGCCAGCTAGAGGCAGGCCCCAGATCATGATCAGAGTGTCCAGACGGATGCGGTCAGGAGAGGTGTTCCATCAGGTATCGTGGCCCTGAGCTGTGCTATGGCTTGAGCTGATGGCTTTGGATTCAAAGTGGCCTCGCTGTAGCTCAGGGCATATCTGCAAGCGGGTGCCATATTTATCATCTGACCAGCATGAGATGGAGGAAGATGGACTAAACTGACCTTAGTGTTTGTCTTGCAAGGGCCTTCCTGATGTCTGCAACCAGCAAGACTTCGAGCTTTCCCCAAGCTAATGTCCAGATGTGCTGGGCTTCATCTCCGAAGATCTCAGCCAGCATGGCTAATGGGCAAGCACAACAGGGCTGATGGGAGTTGCAGTTCAGCACATCTGGAAGGCCCCAGGTTGGGCAAGGGTGGTTGAGATGTTGACGATTACGAGGCAGAAGCTGGCAACTCTTGACACCCTTTTAGTCTTCTGGCTTGGCCCAAGCCATGTCTACCCACAGCCTGTTTCTTCCCTGGTTTGGTTTGCAGGACACTGAGACCCCGGATTGATCCGTAGGGCTTCCACTCTTGGAAGGAGCCTGAGGCCGGCCACCATGATCTCTGAGTTCCTAATTGCCTGGCAGTTTGTTGCAAGTTGATGCTCGGACTCGAGAGATAATGAGTCTTCTGCTAATGAGCTGAAGGTTTCCAGAAATAATTAGAGTGGGTCTGTCGTGTCAGGAAGTATCTCAAGATGTATCGCTCTAATGAAAGAAAGAAAAAAAGCCATATTTCATTCATAACCTGTAATTTGCATAAACCCACCCCCTTCTTTTTCTTTGCTGGTGAAATGATAAATTATAGCTGCTAATTCTGACTTGAGCACTCCATAACTTATTTCTGTTAACAAGCTGGCTTTGTACTGGCAGGATCCTTTGGAATTTTAGAAATGTCCAGCAGGAATGCTTGAAAGTTGGACCCAAGGAGCTTTCATTCTGAGAAACTCCCCGAGACACCTCGGTGGTGTGAGAACATTAGCCCTGACAGTGCCAATTGTGGAACGAGGTGCTGAACCTTCAGTCATCAGGATTATGTCAAAATCGAGGCAGCTTTGACTTTGAAATGGGGGGTGGGTGCGGTGGGGGGAAACAGCCCTGGGGATTCAGTAAATTGCTTTTATATAAACATGCTTTGTCCTTTCTTGCCAGTGTGTTTTTCACCATGAAAGCTTCCCTCTAAATCCGCTGGATGCTTATCTTAGCTGTCTCTTTGGGTGGCTGGAGAATCTGCCCAATTTATCATCCCTGCCTGCTGAGATGAAACAAGGAAGTTATTCACGCCCTTCCTTTGGCATCTGTCCAGTTTTATTTGTCCTGTCAGTGCTGGTCTATGGAATATTGTGCTCACCTGGAGAACAAGCACCAAGATTTGCCCTTGCTTTGATGGCCACTATTCTTCCTTGTAGCTATTTTCCAGGGTTGGACACAGCCTTTCTGCAGCACAGAGAGCTGAAATTCTTTCCTTTGATGCTCTGGTCCACTTCCACAGGTCCAAATTGTCTTGTAGTGCAAGCTAGGAACCTAAATTGACAAAATAATAAGGGATTCCCATTTTGTAACTCCCCCAAGGAGAAACGTCAGAATTAGATTCTTCTGCGTCAGGATCAGACCAGGGTGAATGAAAGCAATCATCTTTTGGGCCATGTTACTAAAAGGTGAGAAGGAAGCTGAAGAGCTGGACCAGAGCTTCCCCTGTGGAGGAGAGAGTTAGTCAGGATAATGTTGGGGTGCAGAACTTCCAGGCTGGAAAGGCTTTGCACTGGGCCCTCAGCCTCCACCGCACAGGTCCACTCTCTACCTGCGAAGTTGACTGGTGTGGCAGGGTCCCTTTTCTAAGCATGCTTCCTTCCCAGCATGTCCCCCACCTCAGGTCACCTGCTGTCTTCGCATGACTGTTAGGATTACGAACTTAAGCAAATTTATAATTATACGTATCGTTCAGGCTGATTTTAAAGGCTTTTTTCCTTAAGTGTAATTCTCATTTGGAGAGCAGAAGAGGGCAAAGGGAAGTGGAAGGAAGAAAGACAAGAAAGGAGGCAAAGGGAGAGGGAAGGGGAAGAGAGAGAGAAAAGGACAAGGAGAGGGCAAGAGAAAAAGGGGTCGGGAAGAGAAGGGAAAAGAGAAAAAGCAAAAAGAGAGGACAAGGTATGGCTGGTTTCACCCACTTTCGGCCTTGCTTCCTGTCAGAGTTTCTGTACAGTCCTTGCAAGGTGATGCACACCCTTCTGCCGAAATTAGTTGTCCAAGGATGCTGCAGGGTCCCCTGATCCATGGGGGAAAGGTGCCTTTTCCATTGTGTGTGCGTCCTTCCGCCAGAAAGCAGGGACGGCTTGGCCGGGGATGGCTCGGCACCATGCGGGTGGGCCGGCTGCCACCCCCTGCAAAAGCGGTTTTCACATTCTGCCTTTCCTCCTTTCCTTCTTTGGGCCACTCAGTGGACGGCAACTGGAACGAGTGGTCAAGCTGGAGCTCCTGTTCCACCACCTGCTCCAACGGCACCCAGCAGCGGACCCGCGAGTGCAACGGGCCGTCGTACGGCGGAGCCGAGTGCCAGGGCCAGTGGGTGGAGACCCGGGACTGCTTCTTGCGGCAGTGCCCAGGTGAGTAGGCGGCCCTTCAAGGTCGGGGGTGGCTGGGAGGAGGGGATGGTGTTGCTTCTCCGTATGGGGGAGATACGGCCTGTCGGCCAACTCGCTTATGCTGTCTGACCTTCATGCCTGGCTCGGGAGCTTGGTTCCCCCATCTCATTTCTTTGTTTTATCTGTTTTTACTTTGCCGTCCTATTCAAGACGGTCTCACAGTAAAATAAAGCACAGCACAGCATCACATCTATAAAAACCCAGTGAAAATAAGAATTAAACCTTCAAATATAGGGAAAATCAAAAGGTTTTGGCCTGGTGCCGAAAAGAATACAGTGTTGGTGCCAGGCGAACCTCTCTGGGGAGCGTAGGTCACAGCAGAAAAGGCCCTTCTTTCAGAACAACAGACGTTTCTTTGGAAAAAAAACTCTTTCTTCTCCAATGTGCACCCTGCCTAATATACCCAGCCAAGAAAGCATCTCTGAGCATGCAAAGAGTGATTTGTTGAACCCACACTAGGAATTACTTCCAAGCATCCTTCCTTTGGGCAACCCTGGACCCCAACCCCTGGGAGGGCCCTTCTGGAACTGGCAAGCCAGCTAGCCATATGCAGCCCCCCTAGCTGGCCTGACCTTCTCTCCCGAGGCCACATCGGGAGGTCAAGGATCATAGGAAGCCATTTGGCTCTTGTCCTGCACCCCTCTGGCTATTCTCTGGGCCTGCCTGAACACCTGGAGAGGGCAGGCTTCAGATAAGCCCTCCCTCCTCCACCATCTCGATATCTGGGGACCCCACTTCCCAGGCCTCGCCCTCCCCATCCGAAGAGTCCGTGTCGCCCTGGCCCTGAAGTGCACAGCAGAAACACCGTCCTCTCTCATCCCCAACAGCTCACCCTCCTAACCAGGGGTCCAGCATCACAGGCCAAGAGCCCAGCTTGGTGCCCCAGTCGCACCCCTGGGGCCCCACAGGTGGCTGTGCTCCCTTCCCCATCCCACCCACTTCCTCCCAGCCATGGACCAGCGTGGCCTCCCTCTGCCCTCCATTGCCATTCTGGCAGTCTGAAGTGGCCCACCCCAGGCGATGGCAGCAGGAGTTTCAAGCAGGAGCAGGTGGCATTGCAGGTTGCCTTTGGCTCCAGCCCACAACTGGGGGGGGGTCCCCCACCCCGAGCCTCCTCACAATGGAATTTGGCCTTCGACTGGAAAGCGATTCAGCTCCTGTGCTCTCGGTGGAGCTGCACACACCATGTTGCCGACGCCAAACCAGCATTGTCCTCTTCCTCTTCCTCTTCCCCTTCCTCCATCACCATCACCATCTACCATGAAAGGCTCCAAGGGATACTGGAGTCAGCATATTTGGGTGGGATTCCAATGTTCGGTCTCAAACAGGACTCTTCAGACTCCTCCCAGACACAACTCAATGCAGTGCCACCTAGTGGCCATGAGATGCAAACACTGTCTCCCAGAGTGAGTCCCAGAACCCCTTCCACAGGCAGGGGCGTATTTCTGGAAACCTCCCTGTCCTGCAGCAATCATCCAGGGGAGAAGCTCATTCTGTGGGTGCTTTTGGGGTGTCATCTCTGATTGGCACAGCAAGCCCCCTACTCCAGCTGAGGCATGCGAAGAGATGAACTCCTAGCACCCTGCATTCTACCGGAGAAGCTCCTTGGCTTGCTGCTGCCGCTTCCTGGGGCCCCACTTGCCATTGCATGCTCCTTCCTTAAATACTGGCCTGTTGCTCTTCTCTGTGGAATCCCGGAGCAGTTAAACAATTACAAAGGAAAATCCTGACTGCAGAGACCCGGCATAATACAGTAGATGGAGTGTTGGTCTGGGAAACTGTGGGTCGGAGCTGCAGTCCCCACCCAGCCGTGGAGCTCACCAGTCGTGACCTCCCATACAGGGTAGAAACAGAGAAACAGAGAAAGAGAGTTAGTCAGAAGGGGTCCCCCAGGCCATCTAGTCTGACCCCTGTTCCAGCTGGCTCCACTCATGACATCCCTTTTTCTTCTCTAATTGTGCCATTTTATTTTTGCTTATATTGCACAGTCAAAGAAACAAAATTGCAAGGTTTTCTCCTGATTTGTTCAGAAAAAAAATAAAAACAAATGATGTTTAAAGTGATTTTCCCCCTTTATTCCCCAGGCCTCCATCTCTCTTTTTTAAAATAAGTTTTATTTGAAATTATAATCCTAAAAAACAAAGCAAAAATACAAAACTACAAACAACATCCATCATCAAAAACATCGAGCCCACTGGGTCAGCTCCCACACCCTTCTTTTTCCATTTATGATAACTTTAAAAACATATTTAAATCTATGCGAAGTCCCGTTTCTCTAGCCAATAATAAAAAAGGTCCCAAGTTTGATAGAAGTCAGCATCTTCTTTCTCCTTCAATGACAAAGTCAGTCTATCCATTTCTACACAGTCCAGGATCTTTTTTAGAATCAGTTCATCGGTGGGTGGTTCTTCACTTTTCCAGTGTGGAGGCCTCCATCTCTCAAACACAAACCCGAGCGTATTATTCTGAAGAAAGTCTGCATGTTCCTGAACTTGCCCTCCCAATGGGGAAAGGAACATGGGTAAAGATGCCCATTTTGGAAACACGCTCATGTCTGGGTTTCTGTCTCCTTCTCCCACAGTGGATGGAAGGTGGCAAGCATGGGGTCCCTGGGGAAGCTGCACCGCCACTTGCGGAGGGGGAACCCAGAAGCGGGACCGCACCTGCTATGGCCCTTTCTTCGGAGGAGAGGTGTGCCAGGGCCCCAAGGACGAATACAAGCAGTGCAGTGAGAAACGGTGCCCAGGTGAGTGGCTGCCGCAGGGGAGGGCCTTGGTCCACAGGTGTCACCAGCACCCCTCCTTGCTTGCCCCCTGCTGTGAATTCGTCCTGATCACAAGGTGGAGACACGTTGCGCACTGAGCATCCTTTCCTGCTGCTGTTCACCATGGGAGGCAAATAAAGCCAGCTCCCACCTATGTGTCACTCCAACGGCATCACCAAGCGCTTAATGCTGGACGCAGCCTCCGAAATGGACCCAATGAGACTGAACCAGTCCGTGCTCTGGATACTCCTTGGATGCTAGTGGAATTGCATTGTGTCGTGTGAACTCATCGTGGTGCATAACCACCGGTTCTACTGATGGACCACACCAGGTTGCAAAGGGCCATGGAATACCTGGAAAAACTCTGCCGGAGCACACCGAGAAGATGCAAAGCTGGTGGGAAGAATCCCACTCCGCTAGGCTCACTGAGGCCCCGGATAAGGCTCCGTCTCAGCCACCTTGACAACTGGTTCTGCTGGCCAGGGAGAGCAATGAGAGCTGTTTCCAGCCACCTTCCAGCACTGAGAAATCAGGCGATGCTGGAGAGCTGATCCGTTGCCATGCCAGATTTGCAGTCTCTGAAAACTTTTTCCTTCCTCACCTGGGATGGACACACTTATTTTTCTGTCGTTGTCCTTTACTCCTGGGCTTTTCCCAGCCTGCCTCTGACTTCTCCACCCTGCCTGCAGATCACCCATCTCCAAAATCCCTGGCCACTTTCAAGCTGGGGAGCTTGGGAACACAGGACCCGTATCCGCCAGTCATCAGCTCGGTGTCTCAAAATGACGGCATTCTTCTTTTGGCCTAGACAGGAGGCGCATGGATAGAAGAGAGCATCACTAATGTAGTCAGATTTTTAAAAAAGGGTTTTTTAAAAAAAGCAATTGAGTATAATTGGGTTAGATGTTAAATTCTCCCAGTGCTGTGTGTTTCCCTTTGTAAAAAGGCTTCTGTTACAAAGAGATATTAAAACTTACAGGGATCATGAGATTCCCTCCTGAGCACTCTCAGGCAAGGTAGAGAGGTGCATTGCTAACAAGCATCCCTAATATGCAGTCATGCTTTGTTTCCCAGGAATTTAGTTTCGAGCAGGAGAGAACCGTGAAAGCATGACTCCACACAGCGCATGAACATTTGGAGTGACCGTATGCCAACCAGGCACCTTGCCAATGTCTTGGACTGCACTCCCCATCATCCCCAGAGTTGGCATCCCAACACCTCTGGGGGGCACACACGTGGCAAGATCCATCCTTCCTGTCCCAACTCTTGACCTCATCGTGTTTCTCGTTAAAGTGCTGAGGTCAGAGTCAGGCGAGTCAGGGCTCTTATGCAGTGATGCTCAGCCCGCACGAAGTGCCTTTCTCTGTTTCAGCCGCGGCACTGGACACTTTGCAAGTCACCTCCCAGAGTTAATTTTGCTGGACAGATGCTAACCGATTGCATCAGGGGTCAATGGCATTGATTCCAGCTCACCAACAGCTGGACCGTGTCCACCTCCTGTCTCTTCGGCCCATCTCTCTACCAGCGCTGTGGAACCTTCCCTAGTTTAGTGTCAAGTTCAATGAGATGAGGATTCCCAAAGCAGCAGTCGGGCTGAATCCACAGCTACCCTCAGCTTTGCTGATACTGTTCTATCCGCACCCACCTTCTACGTGCCCCCAGCCTCTTTTCAAGTTGTTTTAGATGCCCAATAAAGGAGAGCGTGTGACTGAAAGCTGTGAAATGGATCCTTCCTTCTCCCCATATGCTTGGAAATGAAAGATGGTTTTAATACCCCAGTGGCAGCTTCCACTGGTTTATGTTCCATAAACAGCTTCTCCACAAAAGGTTTTTGTTACTCAGGAAAGAGGCTGGCTGTAGGCTAATATTCTGCATCCTCCAACTGCTTCTCCCCTTTTCCAGCATCGAAGCGTATATAGCCATTTACAGGCATTTTCATGAGCTTCTGTCTATTGCAACATTTAGGGGTATAAACATAAAAAGCATCGGAGTGACAGTCCATCTAGTTTTGCCTCGTATTGGCCACAGTGGCCTCCCAGATGGCTCTGGGAATCCCAAAGTGGGCCATGGAACCTGTTGCTTCTCCAGGCAGAGGAGTGGTCCAAGGTTCAAAGAGCGGTAAAAGCCCTCCTCCCCAAGTCAAGATGCCTTTGTGCCCATGGCCATTTCAGTTACCCGGGCACCTGAGTGAAAAGATTTTTTAAAAACTAGAAGAGAGTCTCTCTGTCTTTCCTTTTCCCATTTGCTTCCCCAGTTCTCTCTTGAGCAGCAAATGTACCAGACTCACCGTCTCTCTCTGCTTTTTAAAAGAGCCCCATGAAATCTGCGATGAAGATAGCTTTGCCTCTGTGATTTGGAAAGAGACCCCCGCTGGAGAGGCTGCAGCAGTCCGTTGTCCCCGTAACGCCACAGGTGAGATGCGGTGGCTCGATCGCCTCCCCGTTGGCGGGATTCTGAAGTCAGCACCGGCCTGGGATACCTTTCCACCTCCCAAGGGGGCTGCCAGCGCCGGGTCCCTTGCAAGGCCCCATGGGTTGTTGGGGGATGGTACCCTGGGGTTTCATTGTGCCAGGGCTGGCCCCAAACTTTGGTTGTGTGAGGCCGAAGGGGGAAAGAGTGGAATGCCCATCATTCCACATGCCTCAGAAAACTGGAATAGGTAGAGATGCTGGCAAAATTTATTTTATTTATTTATTGGATTGCTTTCCCACCATGTTAGCCCATTTAGGGTTCTTGAGTGGGTTTGACGATCTGACCAGGATTTACCCAGCTTTACCTTCTGGACCAAACACAGACTTGGATGCCATGTGCACTCAAAGAACATATATTTCCATGTTCTCAACATGATATGCCAACCAAAAATAATGCGGTGGACAGGAGGCGGTAGGCATGTCATGAGTGGAGCCAGCCAGAGCCAGGGGTCAGACTAGATGGCCTGGGAGACCCCTTCTCATTCACTCTGTTTCTATGTGCAGTTTGGAAAAAGGTGCATGAAAATGTGTGCTTTGATGAGCTTTCATCCTATGAAGAGCAGTGCATACATTTCAAAGATCACACAACTGATGCATACAGTTAGGAAAATAGTATTAATTCCATCATTTGGAGTAGAACCTTTGCTGAGCAAAAAGGGGAAATACCTAATTTCGACTACTGGGGGCTTCAGCAGACTCTTGCTATGCAATCCTGTGTTTTCATCTTGTTGGAATGGCAAAAGCTGCCTCTTCTGGACAGCAATTGGTTTAGAGGACCTCTATCTGAAGATGAATTGCTAAATGGAGTCCATTTATTGGACCCCAAAAGGTACCTTGCTTGGGAACCCAGGGAAAACTGTTCTTCCTAGACTCTTCCGAGACTCTTGTGTGTGTTCCCATGGCAAGTCAGGGGTTGGACAGGGTGACTTAATGTGTCTCCCTGCTTCTCTTAACTCATAAATCCTGGTGCTTTGGAAAGGGAAGGATCCCAATGGCGGTGGAGCTGCCAAAGCAACAGATCAGAATAAATTAGGAGAGACAAGAGTAATGGAGGACAATGGGCACAGCTCTTGCCGAGATGATGAATAACTGCCCGTTGGTTTCCAAGGAGGCCGCAGTTGCTGCTGCTGGATATTTATTTCCTTATTTCAAGATCTCCCAGGTGGCTTTCAAACAAGCGATGTGTGTCCATCTGTAAATCAGTTGGCTGCACTTTGGTCCTAAGCACCACAAAGGCACAGCTTCTCTCACACACACTCTGCACCGTGCCCCACATCAGACTTCCCCATCCAGATGGTTGGACTTCAACTCCCATTAGCCCCAACCAGCATGACCAATGTTCAGGCATGCTGGAATTGTAGCTCAAAACATCTGGAGGGCTCTGGGCTGGGGAAAGGTGGCTACATTTCCACAGTAAGGATGACAAGGGGCGGCTGTCCCCATTTATTTTGTGTTCCCGTGTTGGCCCCCCTCCATCCCCTACTGGGGTCTGGGGCCACACTCTGCACGCATTGGGGTGGGGGTGGGTGGTCCACCCTGGCCTTTCTTCAACTATTCTGTTCATGTCTGAGCAAGAGCAATATCAGGTAGATAAGGCGGTTTGTGCCTCCAGCTCCACAACTCAGAAACCAGAGGTGGAGTTGGGTTTATTCTACCCATCATCTTATTTACAGGACTGTGTTACCACCTATCTCCACCCACGTTGTTCCATCAGCAAGTCAGAAGGGGTCTCCCAGGCCATCTAGTCTGACCCTGGCTCCAGCCGGCTCCACTCACGACATGCCCACCATGTGCATGTCCAGCCTGTCCTTGAACACCCTCACCAGTGGGGCCTCAACGAACTCTAGTGGAAGCCCATTCCACACCCTCGGGGTCCTGACTGTCAGGAAGTGCTTCCTGGCATCCGAACGGAGCCTTGACTCCCTGAGCTTTGCTCCATTGGAGCGCATCCTGCCTTCCTCTGCAGGGGAGAACAGGTCTCTACCGACGTCTGTGTGACACCCCCTCACATACCTGTAAGTCGCCAACATATCCCCTCTGAGTCTCCTCTTCTCCAGGCTGAAGAGGCCCAGTTCCCTCAGTCTCACCTCACATGACTTCCCCTGCAATCTGGCCACCATCCTTGTGGTCCTATGCTGCACTGACTCCAAAAAACAACCCCCTTTGCCATGCGGCATGGAGAGTGGGATCGTGGCCGAGAACCATGTGGTCTCTAGAATGTGCTCTTGAGGTCCCGGCTTCATTTTGCATGGCCAATGTCAGAAGGCTGTTCTTTCACCAGCCAGCCAGTGACGTTCTGCCTGTGCCCTTTCTGCTCTCCTTCAGGTCTGATCCTACGGCAGTGCCTGCTAGACGAAGAGGGCATTGCCTACTGGGTGCTTCCAACGTACATCAAGTGTGTTTCCATTGACTACAGGAACATCCAGATGATGGTGAGTGTCAAGGCGCATGTCTCTTCTCCAGGCCAGGATCCCTGAAGTCAAAGGCCCAGAGAAGCCGAGTCTTCCCTGGAGAACTACGAGTTGGTGTGGCAGGCAGAAGGCACTGCTCCATTGACCAGTCATGGGTAGAACACAAGGCTTGTCATGTTTTCCCCAGGTCTCTCCCACTGAGACAGCCAAGGCTAGTTGTGAACCTGAGATGCTTTGGGGGATTAGGGCCAAAGTGGTAAGACTTGGACAAACCGGAGCTCCAGCAAGGTGGGCTGCCAAACCAGATTATCAGTATTGCAGTCTCTCAAGTCCTAAATTGAAATGTTAGTTGTGTGTGTGTAGGGCATTATTGGCATCTATGAGATGGAGCACATTAAGGGAAAGGGCCTTCTTCCTCTTAGTGAGAGCTGGCTGGCACCAAATCATCATCTTGCCCAGGCCGGGTTAAATCATTCCTTTCCCCCCATACCTCTGACAATGCATGATAAGAGCTTTAGGCGGTGCTAGAATATTTACTGTTGACAATGCAAATGTGTTCTATATTTTTATGCATTTTTTCTTTGAATTATGTTATTATACTGTCTTGTCGGGGTTTCAACCTGAGCAGTTTTGGCTCTTGTGTGGATGCAAGCTCAGCACAATAGCTCACAAGTCCAAGGGTGGAAAATCCTCATGTCCCGAGGTAGGGCATCTCTGAGAGGACATGGGAATGCACACCTGAATTTTATGTTGACTTTGCAAAAGTCACCTGTTTGCCATAGAGGATGACTGTCCCAAATCCATGGTACGAGTGAGTGACCAGGTGGAGAGAGTCACAAAATTTCAGCATCTCCAGGTGGCACTCAGAGATGAGGTTGGTCATTTGCCCAGTTTTTTCTTCCCCAGAATTTACTCCTCACCTCCATGAGAACGTGACTGAGGGGGTCGGGGTTTGGCTCAGTAGAAGTCTTCAACAAGGACAAAGGCATGTCCTGTGCTGCTCAGGAGGTCAGGAGTGGATGGAACAGTCTTGTGTTACAGGAGACTAGATTTCAGTTGACCATTAGGAGAAATCATTTAATGGTAAGCATCGTATGATGACAGAACCAATTTACCCAGACTGGTGGTGGGATCTCCCTCAACCACAAGAAGTCTTCCAGCTGAGATGGAAACTGTTGGAGATGCATTTTCTCTTGAGGTCTCATGTCTCGTGCTTCTCTTCTGAAGAACTCTGAGATGTTCTGTAGAACTTCCCTAAGAACTTTTTCTCCATAAAGATGAAGACATTTTTCTCCATCGAGACAAGACACTTTTACCCTTTTTGGAAAAGATTGGATTACGTATCTTAATTCATGTTTATGTAGTATTTTTTTATTCTTCTGGGTATTTCACCTTGATTTCAGTCATATTTTTGCTGAGTTACCTGCTCCAGGTATTTTTGGAGTGGAAAATCTCCAGGATGGATAATGATGATGAACTGGCACAAACTAGGCCATTTCCAGTGCATCTGGAAAATGTATCTATTTCAGGGAAATTTGGAGCTTAACCATCCACTGTCTTTTTACTGATATCCTGTTTTAAGATCGCAGTTTATTCTTTTTGCCTTTTTATTGCTCACCACTCTGAAAACTGCTTAGATATGGAGCAATGGATTAATATTGTAAATAAATACATATTCTTCCTCCACCAGACAAGGGAACATCTTTCCAAAGCCCAGCGGGGTCTGATAGGGGAAGGGGTGTCCGAAGTTTTGCAAACCCTGGTAGAAATTTCTCAGGATGGGACCAGCTACAGTGGGGACCTGTTGTCAACCTTTGACGTGCTCAGGAACATGACGGAGATCTTCCGCAGGGCTTATTACAGTGCCTCGGCCAGTGACATACAGGTGAGAGAGCAGGTGGGAGACAAACCTTTGCTGGGTACTCGGAGGAAAGGAGATCCTTGCTTTCGCATCAGGATTGCTTCCAAATTCTTTTCGTGGACTTTCCTCCAAATGGCGGAATGCTGAATAATCTGGCTTTGTGTTCAAAGGAAAATTAATCCATTAGGAAGCCTCCACTGCTCCACTTTCACTGTTTCCAAAACAGATGGTTGTGCATTGCATTGTATCGAAGCAGCTTCAACGGACGAGCATTGATAAGTGCGGAGTTTGATGCACTGGCAGGTCCTGAATGTCTCCACCAAACCCTACCAAATTGCTTTTGCTTGGGTCCCCCTTGCTTTCACTCTGAACCTTCCTGGTGGTTGAAGCAGCGATGGAGGCAGCACTGGCAGCAACCTGGGGCCTCACTGAATTGTCCCGTTCTGCCCCCAGTACTTGCAATGCGGCAATGGCAGCTTATCTAGTCCCCAGAGCCTTGTGACATTTAATGTTCCAGGTACCAGCTGCTTGGCCTTAAGAGGTGGCCTTTGGGATGAAAGGATCTGGCTTCATTAGATCTTGGGTTACCTGCTGAGCAATTAGGGATTCTGAAAACGAAGAACCAGTTCAGCGTAGAGGTGAGCATATTGGACTGGGCCTTGAGGGATCCAGGTTTGAGTCCCAGCTCAGCCATGATGCTCCCCGGGTGACTTTGGACCAGCCATGGCCTCTCAGCCAAACCTACCTCACAGGATGTTGTTCTGAGGATCAGATGGAGAGGACAGGGATGTAGAAACGCCTCGGGTTTGTTAAGATTTAGAAAAACAAGATTTAAATAGAATAAATAAAATAAAAGGTGCAGGACTCTAGATAGACCAGAACATACTTGAAAGATCTGATCCAGAGAAGAACAATGTTGGGGTATCAGAGTAGCAACATTGTAGCTGAACTGTGTGTAAAGGGAGAATTAAAATTAAAAATTATGTGCAGGGGAATTAAAACCGAGCCATAATATCAAAGTCACAGGAAGTAAAATGCCTACTTCGTTCGGACCATGTCAGATTCTTTCTGAAATATTTTGCCCAGTTCTGGGAAAGGCAGTTCATGAAGGATGCATTCAAGTGAGCATTTGAACCCATGTACAATACTTCCTTCATTGGCCAAAGCATCAAAGAGCATGCTTTTTAAAGTCTACTTTTTCAAACGAGTGCTGCAACCTCGGAATGGGATGCACGCACATTCGCAATCCACTGAGCAAAAGGGCAACGTCGGGGCACAACGAGCGCAGAACTAGGTACATCATTCCAGGATCAGATTCCATAAAAATGGGCTAGCTGGGTGAATGCATGACCCGTGTGTTCACAACACGGCTGACCTGCCTCATTTAGAAGGGAAGGTATTTATTTATGCACTTACATGCCACCCCTACTCCAATGGAGTCTCTGGGATTTGCACAGATAGAGCAGTAAAATCTCGCTCTCCTTTCCTACCATCCACACTGCCAAAACGATGGGGAGCGGATGACATATATTGGTGCTTCTTACTTTTGGTCCTCACAGCAGAGCTGGGCCCTCCTGTCCTAGGAAAGATCCGCACAGCAACAAAGCTGCCCTGCGGCGAAGGGCAAGATCGGTTGCCTTGATCGTTAAATGCATCTTGGATTGCATTCCCTCGAGGAGTTTCAAGTGATTATCTAACTGGAAAGGAGATCGATGGTTCTGAAACAAACGCCTCCTTTCCCCCACATTCCTTTCCACCTGCTTACACTGGACAGAGCAAAGCAGATGCTTTGGGAAATTAGGTGTTACCGAAGAGGATCCCTGCTGGGGCTGACGGTGGCCAAGCCAAGCCTTCCCAAAGCCTACAAGCAGAAGGGGAGGGCCATGAATCTCCTTTGTTCTCCCCTCTGGGGACGAGATCGCAGGAGATGCTGCTTTCAGAGAAGTGTGCCATCAAAACGTAGTGTATGGGCCAAAGGAGGACTCTCTTCTGGACCAGCGATTAGGCCAGGAGGAGTGGATTAGGCCATGTTGCTTAAAACGCAACCATTTGACCTTTTTGGAAGGGTGGAGAAATTTGTTGGATTCACATTTTACTGGGGACTTAACTGATCTTGTAAGCCATCCAGAGATGCTTGTAGTGGACGGTCTATAAAAGCTTTGCAGGCAGGCAGGCAGGCAGGCAGGCAGGCAGGCAGGCAGGCAGGCAGGCAGGCAGGCAGGCAGACAGACAGACAGACAGACAGACAGACAGACAGACAGAAAGAAAGAAAGAAAGAAAGAAAGAAAGAAAGAAAGAAAGAAAGAAAGAAAATCTTGTACTTCTGAACCAATTGTAGCCAGCAACTGAACGCTCCTTTGTAATGTCTGCTTCTCCAAATGTTACAATGGAACTGCTCAATCCAAAAATTCATACAAAATGCATATAGGAGTGAAAATAGCCATCAACAATACACTATCTTTGGTTGATGGTTTCAAAATATGTGTGCATATTAGGAGAGTTTAGATGAAAATACATTAGGAGAAACATGCAGAAATAAGTGTACACGTTTCTATGAGTACCTTCAAAAAGAAAAATGAAAAACCTCTGGAGACATCAATTCAGGAGACATCAAATTTAAGATGGGAAAAATTGTGAGCATTTGGGATGAACTGAACTTAAAATTGGAAAAATAGGAACTCTGAGAGAAACAGAAATAGATAGTCCTTACCCCCATCAGTACGTAGGTCTGTGGACTCTTTGGTCGGTTCATTGGCAGCTCATGTGCAGAAGGGCTTTCTGTGTAAATGTTTTGCTCATGCACAGAGGCAGAGTAATTATGGTCTGTGGGGATATTTTGCCTAGTCTCTGCAAACCAAATTGTCTACAGATGTTGCTATGGATGTATGTACGTTGCAAAATCCACTCAGTCTTCGTTTTGTGGCTTGTCAAGAGCCTCACTGACAGAACTGGAGTTTACACAAATGCATTTGTAAGAATTTGTGCAGATTTGCTGTTGTGAAACTTCACACTTCCAGAAGTGTACAACTCCCCCAAATATGCAAACCCTGGAAAGTGCATGTTTTCAATGGGGGGAAAGGACACCTTTGGTTAGTGCTTGCTAAGCTTTGCATTTTCCTATGATTAAATTGCATAATTGGTCAATACATTTTCATGAGTTAGTCCTATGGCCAGCAACACTGGTCTGGCAGTGGATTTCTCAGGTTAATCCTGCCATTTAAGCAGGAGCTTTGGTTGTTTTTTGTGTGTGTCTGCTGTAAGTGGGTGGAAGTTTGGGGCAATAGAGCAGGCCTTTCTCAGGTCTGACCCTGTGATCCTACTAGGCTTTCTGTGTGTGCCAGGGTGGTGGGTGGGCATCGTGAAGGACAGCCAGTCAACCTTCTGCCCTGGATGCAGGCCCTGGAACTGGGGTTCAGGTGTGGCTGTGTTCTGCAGCTGCAGAACACACATTTCTGGAAGCACTTGTGCACCAGCTGCCAGCAGTAACACGCTTCTCTCTGAGTGAGAAAGCAGTTGGTCAAGGGACTGGGAACGTGCTGTGCGTATGGGGAGGGAGTGAACATATACCTGTGGAGCGACCAACATGGCCTCACAGCTTCTGCTCCTCTCTTCTTGCCTTAGAATTTTGTGCAGATAATTAGCAACATATTGATGGAGGACAACCGAGACAAGTGGGAAGAGGCTCAGCTGGTATGTGAGGCAACAACCTTTGGAAATTGGGGCTCTGTGTGTGTGTGTGTGTGTGTGTGTGTGTGAGAGAGAGAGAGAGAGAGAGAGAGAGAGAGAGAGAGAGAGAGAGAGAGAGAGAGAGCACATGTGTGAGATTCTGTCTCAGATTAGAAGATTCCATATCTTTGTATCCTTTCTGAGGACAGGATGCTGAAGACAGGTGACACCCAAAAGACACACACAGGTGCCCCCTCCCCCCGTTCCTATTATACCTGCACAGTGGCACACATTTATGTACCCTTTGCGACCTCTTCTTTATAAGCATTTTCCTTTGAAGAAGGTGCCTTGTCTGGTTAGCCTCTTTCAGCTGGAAGGAGTCCAAGAGAAAGAAACAGAAACATAGAAACACTGAAACAGAGCGAGTCAGAAGGGACCTCCCGGGCCATCTAGTCTGACCCCCGGCTCCAGCTCATGACATGCCTACCCAGTCCCTTGACCAACTCCACTCATGACATGCCTACCATGTGCATGTCCAGCCTATCCTTGAACACGCTCACCAACGGGGCTTCAACCACCTCCCCTGGAAGCCCATTCGATACCCTCGGGGTCCTAACGGTCAGGAAGTGCTTCCTGGCATCCAAACTGAACCTTGGTTCCCTGAGCTTTGCTCCGTTGGAGCGTGTCCTGCCCTTCACTGCAAGAGGAAAATGGTCACAACCCACCCCTGTGTGACATCCCCTCACGTATCTGACTCAGATGGTGCAACGTGGTTTCCTGCAACAGCAGGGGGTTGGACCCAATGGCCGTCATGGCCCCTTCCAATTCTACTATTCTATGATTCTACCTGTATGTCTCCAACAGATCCCCTCAGAGTCTCCTCTTCTCCAGGCTGAAAAGACCCAGTTCCCCCAGTCTTGCCTCATATGGCTTCCCCTGCAATTCGGTCACCAACCTTGTGGCCCTACACTGCACTGACTCCAACCTGGCTGTATCCTTCCAGTAATGAGGGGCCCAAAACTGAGCACAGTACTCCAGTTGTGGGCACACCAGAGTCGTGTAGAGTGGCAGTAACACCTCTCTCGATCTACAAGCCACACTTCTGGCTATGCAGCCAAGGGTGGCATTCGCCGTCTTGACCACTGCATCACACGGCTGACTCATGCTTAGTCTGCAGTCAACCAGCACCCCGAGGTCCCTTTCACATGTGCTGCTCTTCAGCCACTTGTCACCTAACCTGTACTTATGGCACCCAACTCCGAGCTCATTGCAGGGCGCTGCTGCAGCATCCCCAGCAGGTGGCCCTCCAGCCTGCTTCAAGACTTCCAGGGAAGGGGAGCCCATGGCTGCCCGGGGTAGCCTTGTCGAGACTGTTGGTCAGAGTGCCTGGTGAGCCGTGGATTGGTGCTGCTGCAGGTGATGTGGCAGAAGGTTGCCGGTCGTGCATTCATGGGCTTCCTCTTGACTTGGCTCAGTGGGGCCAAGCATGATCATCTGCACATGCTAAAAGGGTGGGTTCTGTGGAGCTCAGTCACATCCCCAGCCTCTGACTAATTCATCCCTCCCATCTATCCTTCTGGTCCTGATTCCACTCCACAATCTATCCAGAGAGACAGAGAGAGACTGGGCAGACTTGACCCTTCTCTTATGGTCACCTGAACTAAGAACAAATCAATACTGTTGCAGATGGGACCAAATGCCAAGGAACTGTTTAGGTTGGTGGAAGACTTCATTGACGTCATTGGATTTCGGATGAAGGACTTCCAGGACTCCTATCAAGTGACCGAAAATCTGGGTGAGTAGGCAGAGCACCCCACTGCCTGGCCACCCTACCTTGAAATGTCAGCATGTGGCGGGCTGCCTCTTGCAGTTGGAGGCTCCCCTCCCCTCCCCTCTCCTGCCCATCCCCACCCCAGAAAGTAGGCCGATGGAGTGCGTAGTTGCAGCAGCAATGGCAGAATTCAGTGGGACATGGATGGTGCTCCCCCAGATCGTTTCTTCCGTGGAAGAGACGCTGAACTTGTGGCAGTGACGGGTTTGCTGGTGTTATGTTTGCATGGAATCACACAGTTGTTTTATGCTTTTTTGTCAACGACAACGAACGCACAAAATGGGGACAGGGATGGGGAAGCAGAAGTCATGCCTTGAACACAGAATATTTCATGCCCCGTCGTTCCCAGCTCAAACAACCAGGTAGCAGATCCTTGGAAACATTGTGGGGAGCTGTTGCAAGTCCATAGACCTGCGACCACGGTGCGGTTGAACGATCAGTCAATCCGCAACTTCACTCACTGCAAATCTGCTTGCCATGTTCGTACAATAGAACATGAATTATGATTCTCGTAAACCATTCCCAAGTCACAGCTGAAACAATAACAAAACTATTTATTTATTTTAAATGTGATAGCATGGCATATTGATTTGTAATAGGAATGTTTAAAATGCAGCAATGAAAAAATAATAACAGGTGTAAAACGATTTTGTAATGGCTTCCTAACACACACCAGGCAGTATTGAGCTGGATCATTCCATTAGCACAAGCGACATGGTACTTGTGCAAACTATATGCAAGAGAAGGACACCAACTGAGTTATATTTGTGCAATACTGGTTGTACAAGTATTTGTGCATTCTACTGGCACAATCCTTCATGCAGCTTGTTGCTCGTTCTACTTGTGCAAACAGTCATGTTCAAGCAAGTGCAATGTGTGCCCACACACACACACACACACACACACAATTCCTCTCTGAGTTTTTGAAATGGCTCTGTTGGGTACAGCCTTGGTCCACTTGTACACATTCAGAATGAGGCCTGCTATTTAGCGAAAACCATTGACATGAATGGTGGGTAAGTAAGGCCCATTCATCTCAATGGTCTAGGTAGGTCTTAACTACAGAGCTCCTCCCATGCCGGATTCCTGCTCCTTCCCAAGACTGTATAAGCCCTTAGCACAATAATTCCGTTTCATATCTGAGGCCCAGTTCTTCCTGATTATCCGATATCGCAGACACGGGTCCAAACGGGATGTTTCCGCTTTAGTAAGTCAATGCCCCATCCTTCTCCTGTCTGGCCATGCTGTGTCTGCCAGGGTGCACTTCTGCTCTGTCTGCTGCTACTCGTGTGCAAGGGACGCTCAGGGTGCACCGGAGCGTCAGCTTGATTTCCTTCTTCTCTCTCTCTGTCTCTCTCTCTCCGTTCAAGTTTTCAGCATCCAGAAGCTCCCGGCCAATGCAGCCAAAGACATCAGCTTCCCAATGAAAGGCTGGCGGGGCATGGTGGATTGGGCCCGCACGGCAGAGGACAAGGTCATGGTGTCCAAAAGCATTCTCTCCACTGGGGTTTCAGGTAAGGGAAGTGGGATGAGGCTTGTTCCTTGGGGAACACCACGGCTCCAAGGATGCCTTGAAGGCTGATTAGAGCCTTTGCTCTATGTTTTTACCAAACATCCCTCTTGTTAGAGACTGTTAAATTTGCTGTTGATTTGCTGGTCACGAATCCACATGGCAGTGTGGAGTAGTGGCTACAGCCCTGGAGCTGTAACCCACTCACAACTATGAGGTTCACTGAATAAGACCTGAGCTCTCATGGACTGTCAGCCTGACCTACCTCACAGGAATGTTGTGATGAGAAAATGGGCAGTAGGAGAACCATGTCTTGGACTCCTTGGAGCAATCTAGATGCAAAAAATAAAATTTACTCAGGAATATTTATTTATTTATTTATTTATGTAAACCATTTTTATGCCACCCCATTCGCAAAAAGCCTCAGGGCAGCTTACAACAATAATAAATAAACATAAATAAACAATTTATACAATTAGAGTTAAAAAACCAGAAGCATCTCGGCATATACCTAAAAATCCAATAAATACAATTCATAAATTAACAATTAAAATAACTTTTAAATAAAAAGGTCTTGGCCTGGCACCTAAAAACAAATAACGATGGCACCAGACGGACTTCTCTGGGGAGCGCATTCCATAGGTGGGGCACCACTGCAGAGAAGGCCCTCCTCTGGGTACTTTGCCTCCTAATATCATTCACGGAGGGTTCCCGGAAAAGGGCCTCTGCTGCCGATCTCAAGGGGCGGGAGGGCATATATGGACACAAATGTTCCTTTAGATAACCAGGTCCCAAGAATAGATGCATTTCTTTTTGGTTTTTGTAGCTGGTTGAGTCTCTCCTGTTAAAGCAGAGAGCATGAAAACATGGCCAGTCAGTGTGAAATGTTTGCATTCAGAGGCAGTTCAGAATTCAATCAAATTAGATATTTTTTTTAAGAAATTGAAACCTTGGAATCCAAAACATAAAAAGGAAAGAGATATTTCTGGAAGGTTCTGTGATCCATGTGGGTAGGTTCTATTCATTTCACGAGTGAGGTTCAAGAGTCTAGACAGAAGACACCCACCTTTCGCTACCTGGGCAGGTGAAAGCTAAAAGAAGGAAGTAAGAAAAAATGAATCCCGTACCAGCAGCCAAGAATAATTAAAAGCTGTCAGAATCAGGCAAAAGAGGATCTTTGTGTTGTGCTGGCAAAAGAGTATTTTACAGACTGTGTTGTCAAGAGGACACTGAAGCTTGACTGGGCTAAGCAAGATGAGGGCTCTATCAGTCTCCCAATTAACAGTTGCAAGAAGTACCAGTGGAATGCATGGGCACAATCCAACATGCATTCTACTTGGTGCCAAGCCATGGAAGTGAATGGTGAGCCCAGAACCCCTAAATTTATGGTCAGGGCCTCACTGTTGCCTGTCCCAGCCAGGGTCCCTTCTTGGCATGCAGAATATTCAGGGTAAGACTCAGTCCATCTGTAAGTATAACCCTGCTGCCTGTAACTTATTTCTAATATGCTGCCACTTTCTTCATGGATTCTCCGTATGAAACTGTTGCTTCAAAGGACGTGATCCAAAGATGCTGAATTTGCTCAACTCCCTCTTTTTTTCCTGGGACGTGAATGATTTAAGTTCCTTTTTCCAATGCTGGTTGCCACCATAGTGTGTGTGTGTGTGTGTGACAGAGGGAGGGAGAGAAATAAGATATCCTTTCCAAAAGACCAGATGATTGCCATAACTCAATACAACATGGTTGTGTTAAAAGCCAACCCTTGTAAAAAATAATCAGATGCTCTTTAGAAAACATTAGCTACAGAAGTGCAATAAAAAAAATTGGTTATCAAAGACATGTACATTTGGGGCCAAAAAAGACAATTACCAGAAAGATGTCATTAGCAGCTGCATCATTGTAACGTGTTTTCTATAGAGTTCCTTTATGGACCCTCTGCAGGGCCCTCTCTCATACTTCTGCTTTCCTACAAGAGAAGCATTCTGGGTAGGAAGTGGAAATGCGTCTCTGGGGCTTGCTGCCATCCTTCCCAGCACTGCGTTGTTCCCAGGACAAGATCGGAAGCATTTCCTACGATTATCTCCATTGGCACTTCTTGGTTTAGGCCACCAGAATGGAACTGTCCTTTGACATTTGCGCTTTGGGCAGCATAGTTTTCTGAACAAAAATGCTTACAGAAATATGTGTATTAGGGACAAAAGCACACAGAATGTGTATATTAGTGAAAGAAATGTGCAGACACGTGCAGAGCTTACCAAAAATATGTACTTTAGGCCACAGGACATACAAAAGTCCATATATGTGGTGATATGTGTACAAATTCTAGAATTATTTTTTTAACATGCAAACTGATGCAGAGGCAAGATGGAATGAACAGAAGGCTGGCAAAAGGAGAAATGGAGAGAAACGTAAATTGACAGGTTCTCTGTCCTTACCTTCAAGGAACTATTTACAATCCCACTGGGTACCCCCTTTGACTAATCACCAGCTTTAAGGCAAAGAGGACTACAGACACTGTTTCCTTTCATCTCAAGCCTTTATGTCCCATTCTTCCCTCCCTCCTGTGTTTAACATTCTGTCACTTGCCTTGTTGTTTCTGCACAGAGACGGATGACTCCGCTGTCTTCGTGGTGGGGACAGTATTGTACCGAAACCTGGGTGGGATCCTCTCCCTCCAGAGGTAAGCTTGATGCATGTATTTGCACAGGGGCTTGGAGGTGTTGGCCCCGCTGAGGGGTCCGGGGTGTCCCAGGACACTGGACAAGCTTCGTAAGCTTGTTGGTCATATTTGGAGTCCCAGATATATTTTTGGGGCAGATGGAATGGTTGATAGTCAAGCAGAAGAGCTACCATTTCATTCCTCTGGGTATTATGTGGAGGAACCGTCATGGAGGGGGCCATCAACACGCACATGGCTGCCAGGCCCAGGGCTAACGATCAGCCGAGTCACAAAGAAATAGGGCAAGGGAATAATAAACAAGTATCTGGAATAGTGTGTCCAGTTCTACACACAGAACGCACAAGAAAGAGAGAGTCCTGTTCTTCAAGGCAGCAAGAAGGTGTACTCAAAGAATAGCATAATTGGAAGGGGCCAAGATTTAAGGAAGATGCAGGAATATGGGAAAGGGTCCAGCAGAGGGCAACAAAAATGATGCAGGGTTTGGAGACATTGCCCTCTGAGGGGAGATTGAGAGAACTGGGCATGTTCAGCCTCAAGAAGAGAGGACTGAGGGGGGACATGATATCCCTGTATAAGTTCCTCAAAGGCTGCCCCAAAGAGGAGGGTCAAGATCTCTTCTTGCTGATGCCAGAATATAGGACTCAGAGTAATCCATTCAAGTTGCGACAAGCCAGATTCAGGCTGGACATCAGGAAAAGCTTCCTCACTGTCAGAGCAACACGACAGGGGAACCAGCTGCCCGGAGAGGTGGTGGGCTGTCCCACATTGGAGACATTCAAGGGGAAACTGGGCAGCCCTCCGAGTGGGGTGGTGTGACGTGGTGTCCTGCAACAGTAGGGGGCTGGACTTGATGGCCCTCATGGTCCCTTCCAACTCTACTCTTCTATGATTCTATGAAAGGCCAGGTTGCATCATCTTTCTTCTGCCCATTTTCCTTTTGAGTGCCCTTTAGGCAGACACTGCTCCTCTTTTCCCCAGTGCACTAAAAATCATCTGGAGCAAGAGAGTCCTGGGAAAAGTTGGAGAAGGATTTACCCCACACACCCTCCCACATGCTCATGTTCCCTCTTGGCTGCAAATCATACCCCGTTCTTCTCTGTTGCTTTGGGGAGTTTTGTATCAACCTGTGGCTTGGCATCCACTGAGCAAGCATTAAGTGCTTGGGACGCGACAGAAGAAGTCCCATGGCTGGCTAGAGCATGCAGGGAGCTATAGGGTGCTGCTGTTCTTCTAAATGTGCCTTGGATCTTGCCCATAATGCCCTATTGGATTGCTCAGAAATCAAGAGCTGAACACACTATTAGGGCTTGAGTTGGCCTTTGCTCCCTGCTGAGACAACATCCTGCTTTTTTGTGGCAGGAAAAAGTTCTAGTGAGCAGGACTAACCTGGAGCTAGGTTCTACGTTGATTGGGGGGTTGTCCCTGATGGCCTTTATTGGCCCCTTCCAATTATACTATTCTTTGAGTGCACCTTCTTGCTGCCTTGAAGAGCAGGACTCTCTCTTTCTTGTGCATTCTGTGTGTCGTGCTCTCTACTGTGTCAGTGTTTTTAACTGATTTGTCTTAAGGTGCATGATGTTCACTGCAAGCTGTCTTGAGCGCACCTCATGTGAAGACATGCACGTTTTCAAACCAACCCTTCCTAATCCTTTAACACCCTGCTTCCTTCTCTCCAGGAATACCACCGTGCTGAATTCTAGAGTCATCTCGGTGACTGTGAAACCTGCACCCCGGTCGCTGCTCACCCCAATGGAAATTGAGTTCTCCCATTTGTACAATGTAAGTGAACACTGCCCTGTAGCCAGACCAGAACCAGATCATCCCTTGGAAGGGACCCCAAAGCTGGGCTCCTTCTTCTCGAAAATGCACTGATAGGAAGGAGGGCACTGCACCGATCTGATACTTAAGCCTAGAGAGGAATTACTGAACAGGAATTTGAGAGACTGAGATTTGGAGTGGAGGCCTTGAGACTAGACTCAAACAATGAATGTGTTGCTTGTGCTGTGGATGTGTCTGTTTAAAATGATAAGGTTGAGGCAGAAGAAGGAGTGTGAAGGAATTTGAATCTAGCAATTGATCGATGTTTTGCTCTACGGTCCTATACACATAATAGGGATTGCCATAGGCAAGGTAGATGAATTACTCTAAAGGGCCATGAGGTCTCTAAGGAAGTTTTTTAGCAGTTTAAAAAAGTAAAACTCCAAGGAAGTAAAATAACAACTCCTCCTTTCAGTACAGGCCTCCCTTATTTTCCTGGAACATTCTGGGCCCAGTTTGGAAGTGCTTTCTGCCCTCCTTCTTATGCCATGGTTTCTGCCCATAGACCTACATGCTACTGATGTTATGGTTGCAAGCTCCAGACACTGAGGAAGAACATTGGGAACTATTTCCAGTACCTGTAAAAGTGTGTCCCTCTTATTTAAAGCTGTCTCCCTGTTGTAGGGGATAGTATAGCTATATTTTACTTAGATCCAAGTATCATTTTAAGGTGGTTGTTGCATTCCTTGAACCTTGAGGGAAAGATAACCTGGAAATTCAGGAGACAAATCCATATGGGTATTTATTTATTTATTCTAATTGTAAAGCCAACAAAGAACCGTTTTACTAGGAATAAATAACCACGTGGTCTTGCGTAGGACATGATTTCCAAGGAAAATGAATTGGACATTGCTTGAGAGGAACATCCAAGGAAAATGAATTGGACATTGCTTGAGAGGTTATTTTAGACTAGATAAAATGGAAAGCCTTCATCCAGCATTCTGGGGATGAAGCCATGGGACAAGGCCACCATTACCAGTGGGACTATGGATGTTGCTTCCTTGATTATCCTAACACGCAAGTGAATTTGTCTGCAAAACATCTGTGATAATTGAAAGCAAGTGTTTCTGTAAGACTCTTAAAATGATTTGTCTGCAATGGCCTGCCTTTAAAGTGGGGAGAAACAGGCTATGTCCTATTTAACGTCGATATCCATCTATGTCCATTGACCATGCTATTCAGGGAAAATGGGAGTCAGTATACTGGAACATCTGGGTGGTTGCAGGCTGCTCATTCCAGCTACAAGAGGGTGGATCCAAAAGCCCTCCGGCCCCTTCCAGCTTTGTCATTCTATGATTCCATGATATCTCAGTTGACGGGACCTAATTTTCTTTTCCTTTCTTCTTTTCTCCTCCTGTCAGGGGACTACAAACCAGACCTGTATCCACTGGGATGAAGCTGATGTGTAAGTACCGTGTGGTTTTTGCTTGCTCAGTAAAAATTTCTCATACAAGTTTATTGTGGATGTCATAATGGAGCAAAGGAAGGCTGGTCAGGTGTCCTTTTTTTGGTACTTTGTAGTAATCCTCTCCTTGCTGCCACTTCCTGAAGTTTCTTTTGCATTTATCTTGGGTGTAAGGATATTTGCAAAAATGGAAGGAGGGAAGGAAGGAAGAAGGGAAAGCAGGAAGGGGAGGGTCATTTCTAGGTTTCTTCCAGATTTTGGAGTGCAAGTTTTTTTTACATACTTGTTCAATTTATGCGCGCACACACACCAATACCCATCAGCAAGCTGCATAAAATGCATTCCAAACTGGGCAAAATACAAAATTAAAATGCAATACTTGACTCCATGTTACAACATCAACTGTAGAGCTACACTCCAATGCATATTCAGACAGAAAAACGGCCGCAAACTCCCAGCATGCCCCAGCTTGGCATCTGCCAAGGTCAGGGCACCAGGCTGGAAGATCATTCATCCAAGGCCTTAGCACACAGACAGCTTCATCAGGAAGCAGGTATCCCTTCAGGTACTCCCATCCTAAGCCAGGTAGGGCTCCAAAAGCAAGCACCGGCGATTTCAAGAGACCGGAATCCAGCGACCTTCTTCCAAGATGTTCCCACCAACAGACCCATCTTGTTTTATTTATGCTAGCAATTCTCCATTGTTTTGCTTTTCATTTCTGGGTCCTTTTTCAGAAAGCTTGCACATGTGTCGGCTGCTGCAGCTTGCATTTGGCAAAAATCCCCCTTCCTGGTTCCCAATCTTGGTACGCAGCTGTGCACATTAATTAAAACACCTCAAAAAGACATTTTGATGTGATCCTGCCATTCCTTTTGCACTGTTATTCAAACCCGTGTGCTGATCTAATCAAAGCGCAGAAAGGAGTCTGGATATCAGCAAGATTATTTTGAGCAGTGCTTTAACTAATGGACATCTGCGCATGCATTGCATCAGTGTGGCGCCTCCGTTATTGGGCGGGACAGAAATCAAAGAAAGAAAGAAAGAAAGAAAGAAAACAAGAAAACAAGAGTGGAAAGGCAAAGTGGAAGCTGCAGATGACTCTCCATGTGCCATTTCTCCAAAATTTTCCAAACCAAACCATGATGAAGGCAGTACAAAAATGGGGGCTTGTCTGCTTTTTCTCATATTTATGTGTACACATCTGTGTGTCGAAGCATGTTATTGATGCAACCACCCTTGGAATATTGTGTCCCATTCTGGTCACCTTACCAGATCAAAGCAAGGACTTCTTCACACAATATAGAGTTAAGCAACCGATTTGGCTGCCATGGGAAGTGGTGATGGCTGCCAGTCTGGATGGCTTCAAGGGGGGACTGGAGAGATTCATGAGAGAAGAGGTTTTCCATGGCTACTAGCCCAGCTGGCTGTGTCCCGCCTCCTTCACCGGAGATGGCCTGCCTGCATGCTCCAGGTGCCGAGCACCTGGGGGGGGGGGGGGGGTCCTTGTACCCATCCTGCTTGGGGGATCCAGTGGGCAGCTGGTTTGCAATTGTGTGTCTGGAGTGCTGGACTGGATGGGCCTGATCCAGCAGGACTTGTCTTACATTTGTATGTCCTTACTGTAATTTGCCTCGTACTATAACTCCGCTGCCGTTTACAAATTTGGTAGTCCTATTCAGAAATTATTACTTATGGCTAGACAGGCATGGGGCCAAGGAGGGGTTCTGATGCACTCCACCCCAGATAATTCATGGTACCACACCCATCATGCACCTATGGATGCCACATGGGCCCCCTCCACACATAGAATTGTACAAGCAAGGGAATCAATGTCATTTAGAATCTGGGAGACCAGAGTTCCAGGTGGCCTGAAAAGCTTTGCACATATAACAGTATGTGCGAAGTCTCTGTCCTTGCACTTGTTCACACAGTGGGTCTAGATGCCAAGAATCGTGTGGCTGATGCTCCTTCCCTGTGAAAGCAATCACTCCAATTGATACTACAAATGTCTTTATTCTATGCAGTATTACAATTACAGTCACATAGGCTAAGAAGTTGTTCTAAATATGTTCAACTAACACTGGGTTTATGAACCCTTCGGGGCGGTCCTTCTAAAGATGGGGTGCTATGGCCCCTTTCCCTGCATCACTCAATCAGTCTCAATTCTAGCTGTCCCAATCTGTGTGTGCACCCATGAGAACGAGCATCCTCGAAAGTTCCTTCCCCGTTATCTCCCACATCCTATATCGGCAACTTGTGAGACTGTTTCCCCATCAACTCCCAAATTGGCCTCTTGATGCTCCTCTGTTTTGACTTCTCCCTGAATCTCCTTATCTAGTTTATTCTCATCCCCAGCGTCTGTGCAGCTGGGGAGTACAGGTGGTTCTGCTGGCACCAGAAATAGCTGTTCATCAACACTCTGGTTCTCATGGGAAGTTTCCTCCTCTCGTGTGTGCATCCAGGACTCTTCTGAGTCCACGCACACGAAACCAAGGGACAGTGCTCGTTTTGCAAGGTACAGCAGTCTGTGCATGAATAGTGATTAGTGCTACTTTAGTTCTAAATTAATTGATTCTGAATTTGCCTAGAATTGTGGTACTGGAGAAGACTCCTGCAAGTCCCTTCGACTGCGAGGAGATCAAACCAGTCAGTCCTAGAGGCGATCAACCCTGACTGCTCTTTAGAAGGTCAGATGCTGAAAATGAAGCTCAAATACTTTGGCCACCCAATGAGAAGGAAGGACTCCCTGGAGAAGAGCCTGATTCTGGGAACAATAGATGGCAAAAGGAGGGGGCGGCAGAGGATGAGGTGGCTGGATGGGGTCACTGGGGCAGTGGGTGTGAGCTTCGATGGATTCTGGGGGATGGTGGAGGACAGGAAGGCCTGGAGGAGTGTTGTCCAGGGGGGTTGTGATGGGTCAGACGTGACTTCATGACTAGCAACAACAAATATGCATCTGCATCTGGTGACGTGAAGCAGTTATCTCTCTTCAGCAGCCTGCAAAAGTTAACTGGTTCATTTTGCTTGTGCATGCCTGATGCCAAGGGCATCAGGAGTCTCGGGTCGGCATGGCACCTCCGAAAGCTCACCTCATTGCCAGTGAGAGCATTTGGTGAGCAGTCACTGAAGCCAAACTTGACCAGGAAAAGGCAAAGCCAAGCATCAGAGGCACAGAAATTGATCTTAACCCTGAGAGTCCCATGTTCAAGGTGATGAAGTTTTAGAATAGAGTCAGTTCTCCCACCAGTTTGACAAGTATGTTCTCCTGGTTCAGAAATCATGCAAATGTGTCCCGCTTACACTCACACATGCAAACACAAGCAGGAGTGAGGAGGAGGTGTGGGGAAACAACTCCAAATTTCCAAATGTGTGGTCAATTTAGAAAAATGTACACTGTTTAAAAAGTGCCTTTTGAAAGGCACATTTCTTCCTTTTTTCTTTGTTTGAAAGACATGTGTATTGTCATGCTTCAGTCTTAGGGGGAAAGTGAACTTCTGAAAAGAGACACAGAGCCTCCCATTCTCAGTTGAAATGCACACTTTTCTATACCAGAGAGCTCCAGCTGTTGTGCAGTGTAGGAATTAAATAAAGATATTTTTTCCTCCCTCCGCGTACAAAGGTTGAATGAAATGGCTATTGAATCTGACTTCCACTGAATCGTTCTTATTTGGCAGTAATGGTCTTAGAATGACCTCCTTTTACTCTGCCTCATGCAGGAGGTTAGCTTAGATAGAATGGGGAGCTTTGGGTTCTTGGAAGCTCCTGACAAGGTGAGCCAGCGAGTCCTGGGAGCTGAAGGCCCAAACATCTGCCGACCCCTGGCTCAGCGCATCTTGCAGGCATCCTCCTTCCCGGTCCTCAGAGGTTGCTGTGGGCAGGGTGGAAGTTTAAGCAGCTTTGTGGCCAGGGGCTATGGGGTAGCTGAACATGCACTGAGCAACACCCACCTTGCTCATGTGCTCTTGCATCTGTCATGTATTTAATGCAGCCCACCATAAACTCCCTCAAAAGTGATTTAAGCCAGCAGATCATGAACCTCAGGAGTTTCTCTAGGACATCTGATCTTGTTTGCGTATTTGTGTGTTTGTGTCTCCCCCCTCCCCCCAAGAAAGCATCATCTCTGCAAATTGGAGTTATCGTGTCGCATGATGTTTCTCTCTCTTCATGGGATGGAAAATAATAATCTCGCATCCATCATGTGCTGATTTGCATTTAGATAGCTATTTAAGCTGCATGGTTAATAATGGCTCTTTGATTTAATAAATCCAGCCTGGGTGACTGCACACTGCTGGGGAGGTCTGGACCTTCCCTCGCGTCCCACCTTCTCCGTCTGACTTGGACAAGCTGCGGAGCCAGTCTGTGTTTGTGTCTGATGGGCTTTGCAGCAGCTGGCGAAAGGGAAAGCTGCATTCCTGCCATGCTTTGAGTTCTGCTGGTATATTTCCAGAGGCATTCAGAGAAGCGATTATTAACTGTTCAGCAGCACAGTCTGAGCGAATAACTTGGCAGGGGCATCCCGCCCCCCCTTCCCCCTTAGGGCTGGAAGCAGAACGGTTCACACTGGTTTTCTCTGGATCGTAGCAGAGCTCTGTTGGGGAAGCGGTGTGTAGGAAGTGCTGCTTGACATGAGGATGCCAAGGCTTGTTCCCATCACTTCGGGCAAATGGCCCAGGGGCCTGGTTTTAGGACCAGAATGTGGAATGGCGCACCTCCCCATCAGCGCCCTTGTGGGGAATGCCTCCCAGATGGCCACCATGGAGGCTGGGCGGGGGGCTTTCCCCCAGCATCGGGACCCTCTCCCACGAGGCCTACGTGGCCCCACCATACTAATCTTACCAGTGATGCTTTAAGACTTTCGTCGGTCCCCGGGCATTCAGTGCCACGTGCAAGGCTGTTTACGCATCAGTTGAATTGTTCGCACTTGTCGCCAGTATTTGAGCCCTGTTCTGGTATACTTGTGGTAGCTTGATGGGAATAGTTGTAACTTTTTAAAGGTGTGT